TTATTTAAATTCCTTACTTCCAAACACAGTCATGTGTTTTGTGAGATGAGAGCTCAAGTCACTCAGGCTGCCCTCAAAGTCACCATGTAGCCAAGGACGAACTTGGAACTCCTGAGCCTCCTGCCTCCACCTCCCAAGTGCTGGGATCACACGGCCATAGTCACACTCTGAAACCGGAGGGGGGAGGACTTGAACAGAGAAATTGGGGGAGGGGCACAGTTAAACCCTTAACACAGAGAAAAACACTATTTCTAGAATATTCACGCTATTTTAGTTTGCTTGCTTTAGGATCGCCTATATAAAATAATACACTGGGAGACGCTTCATGTCTGAATTCTTCTATTTGGTGTAAAGAAATTAATTCATGTTCTGCACAAATCAGGAATGTGTTCTTTATGTTGTTTTAAAAATGCATTTGTGTGTGTGGCACTTTGCCTGCATGCATGGATGTGTGCCACATGCATACCTCTTGGTGGCCATGGAGGCCAAAAGAGGACGTCAGACTCCCAGGACTAGAGTTACTGACAATGTGAGCCACCATATGATCTGGAAATTGAACCCGGGTTCTCTAGAAGAGCAGCCAGTTCTTAACCACTGAGCCATCTCTCCAGCCTTCTATATGTTTTTAATTCTATAAATTATGCGGGTAATTATGTAAGTATATGGTACTAACACTACAATAGTATATTAGTCACTCTACTGTTACTGTGATAAAATGTCATGGTCAGAAAAATTTAAAAATGAAAGACCTTATTTTGCTTTACAGTTCCCGAGGGAAAGAGTCTATCCTGGCAGGAAAGACACACAGGAAGAAGAGAGAGAAGGGAGAAAGGAAGAGAAGAGAAGAGAAGAGAAGAGGAGAGGAGAGGAGAGGAGAGGGGAGGGGAGGGGAGGGGAGGGGAGGGGAGGGGAGGGGAGGGGAGGGGAGGAGAGGAGAGAAGACAGGAGGTGGGGTGAGGCTATCAGTCCTCAAAGCCCACCCCCAGTGACACACTTCCTCCAGCAAGGCTGCTCCTCCTAAAGGCTCTGTCTTAGTCAGGGTCTCTATTGCTGTGACGTAACACCATGACCGAAAAGCAAGTTGGGGAGGAAAAGGCTTATTTGGCTTGCATTTCCACCACTGCTGTCCATCACTGAAGGAAGTCAGGACAGAAACTCAGACAGGGCAGGATCCCAGAGGCAGGAGCTGGTGCAGAGGGCATGGAGGGGAGCTGCTCACTGGCTTGCTTCCCATGGCTTGCTCAGCCTGCTTTCTTATAGAACCCAGGACCACCAGCCCAGGGATGGCACCACCCACCATGCTGGGCCCTCACTCATCAATCACTAATTAAGACAATGCCTTTCCTCAACTGAGACTCCCTCCTCTCTGATGACTCTAGCTTGTGTCAACTTGACACACAAAACCAGCTAGTACAGGCCCCATAATGTCCCCCAAACGCCACCAACTAGGGACCGAGTGTTCAAACACATGAGCCTATGGGGACCCTATGCATTCAAACACCACAGATAGAATTATGTATGTTTTGTTGGAGGGAAGAAGTCCCTCAGTATTGGGGAACCAGCTTTTTACCCAGGAGGGGGGTCGACTGCACAATGGCCTTGTATTATTTCTGTCTCTGAAACAGGATGCCTGACATGGATGGATGACCTAAAGGAGGGAAGATTCCTCTTGGCTTGTGGCTTTGGAGGGCTTGGGTCCATCATGGAGGGAATCTCAGTTCATGGGGGCAGGAGTGTAAGGTGAAGGTTGTTCACACTGTAGCAGAGCAGGAGGCAGAGTGGGGAGGAGTATGGGGGTGGGGGTAACCAGAGCAGGGGATGGTTCCCCTTCAAAGTCTTTCAAAGTGGCTGCTTTCTGTCAGCTCGTCCCTGCCTCTTGTAGATCCCATGCCACAGTAGCACCATCAGCTGGGGAAAACATTCAAAATCTGAGCCCATGGGTGACTGACAGTCCGACTGTAGCAGTCTTATTGTAGGGGTGTTGCAGTTGTCAAGGAAACAGCAAGTTACATCCCCATCAGGATCCCAGGCAGCTTCCTGGCAGAAGCCACCCTTTAAAACCCCAGAAATAGACACAGGGGAGGGAGAGAGGTGCCTGGTCAGTATCAACACCGGATACACTGTGGACATGTGGAGAACAGGGGGGCGTCGGCCTTTGCTTCTAGAACAGTGGTTCTCAACCTTCCTAAGGCTGTGACCCCTTAATACAGTTCCTCATGCTGTTGTGAATCCCGGCCATAAAATGATTTTTGTTGCTACTTCATAATTGTAATTGTGCTACTGTTTTGAATCATAATGTGAATATCTGTGTTTTCTGATAGCCTTATTGGGCCCTCAGAGGGGTTGAGACCCACAGGTTGAGAACCACTGCTCTAGGGCCTCCAGGCCAGTGGTGACAATGCATTCTCTCTGGATCTCTCAGTCAAGTAAAGGAGACGTCCTCCCTGGTGCCCGGGAGCACTCATTCTGAGGGAGACCTAGACTCTGTCATCGAGGGGCTTTTAGTGTGATGGAGGAGACGGTCTTACCTCCACAAATGGATACATCTGATGATGGAGGCACCATGGGTCTTCGGGGGAGCTCCCACTGTAATGGAAGACAATCCCTTTCCTGGAAGGAGCTTCTCCTCTGTTGTATAAGACCAAATCCAACATTGAGAGGACACTGTTCTTGAATTGGAGGAGCCCCAGTATGAGATAGAAAGCCTTAAAGAACCTTCCATCTTAACTATGAGTTCTGTCATCGGGCACTTTCAATTATCTGACTCAGACTAAAAATAATCTCCCAGCAGCCTTCCATTCTCTCTCTTCTCCTATTTACAATAGAACTTCAAAAAAAAAGCATCTTCGTTCACCATCCAATCTTCACCTGCTCTCTCCAAGCTCAGCAACCTGACCCAGGAACACCACCTTCACTGAGGCTTCTATGGACTCAGGTCCAGCAGTCAGTTCCCCGTGTGAGCTCATTCTGGCCTGTAGATGATCTCACAGTGTCAAGTCAGTGAAATGAAGTATTCCTTAGAGGCTAGAGCTGTGCTTGGGGGCTTGAAGGGTGCATGCTCATTGGAGCGCTGTGACTCTGGATAGCTCAACAAACCAGAGTCCTCTCGGGTTATTGGGGGCTGGGGAGATGACTCAGCCAGTAAAGTAACTTGCTCTACAATTGTGAGGGCCTGAGTTCAATTCCCAGAACCCAAAGGCATGGATGGATGCTGGGCTGCTGCATTTCATCCACCTTCCCAAGTGCTGATTCTGTGTCAGAAATAAATTTAAGCTTGTTTGCCTGTGAAGGTCTGCCCACACAGTACTCGATGATCATCTGGGCTGATTATTTTGTTTTTAGTTTTTAGTTTCCCATAAAACTAAATTAACCATAAAAAAAAGACATAGCTGGTATGGGGGGTGAGAACCGGATATGGTAGCTTATGCCTATAATCCCAGTCCTGGAGAGGTACAGACAGCCAAAAGCCCTGGGGCTGCAGGTCAAAGACTCTGTTTCAAAAGGAAGGTGGATAGTGCCTGAGGAGTGACCCCTGAGATGTCTGGCCTCCACACGCACTTGTACACATGTGACTGACATCCACTTCCACATGTAGCCCAGGATACATGTAAACTTGTACACACACACACACACACACACACACACACACACACACACACCTGCCATTGGATACAATGTACACCAAGCTTGCAGGCTTGTAGCAAACTTCAAACTAAGAAGGTAACAATGCCTGACTCTTGACAGAGATTTTTCTCAACTCGTGAAAGACAGCATCTGAACTGGAAGACTGCCCGTGCCTCTGCAGTCAGCCTGCTTCATGACCCCACCTGCCGCTGGGTGACTGGTCAAACTGATGTAAGGTAGCCTCTTCGTGGGTAGAAGTGTTTGCCATTCTGGGTCACTTGAATCTATGTCCCCAAGGCCATGTTCACTTCTGTTTGGCCCAGAAAATGCCATTTTATTATTTATTTTAAAACATACCTATTACCTGGGTCTCTTCATGGTCTCCTAACCAACAACTGTAGTCAGAGAAACCATATAGCCAAATGACTAACTTGCTGGTCACCTTTCCAATGACATTTTAGACATCTAACAGGTTCCCAGGCACTGACCACAGAACTAGAGAAGATTCAGGAAGCCCTGAACCCACATCCTCAGACACCACCTTACCTCCCTACCACAGCCTCCTAGCAGGAATCCAGATATGGAAGGGAACAGAAGCCATGGTCAGTCCTTACTACAAGTCATGAGCACTGACTGCAACTGGAGAATTATCCTCGTGTCAGGGGCTCTGAGAGGCCCCATCCTGAGCTAGCCTTGGAAAAAAGTTCCCCAAGAGTGGTGTTTGCAGAGGAAGTGAGATAGATTAAGGGGCCCACTGCTCCCTGAGAGCTCCAGGCAAAAGTTAAGCACTGGAAAATGCTATCAAACCACTGTTAGTATTAATGATTTCTTTAATGTAAGTGCTCATTTTAAAATTTCTTTAAATAGCCGGGCGGTGGTGGCGCACGCCTTTAATCCCAGCACTCGGGAGGCAGAGCCAGGCGGATCTCTGTGAGTTCGAGGCCAGCCTGGGCTACCAAGTGAGTTCCAGGAGAGGCGCAAAGCTACACAGAGAAACCCTGTCTCGAAAAACCAAAAAAAAAAAAAAAAAAAAAAAATTTCTTTAAATAAGCTGCTGGAGGTTTGGGGTGATTTGATGCCTTGATTGACAGCTGTCAGGCCCTTCCCTGGTGCCCTGGCTGCCTTGAGCAAAATACTAAGAACCTAGCTACTGTGAACACTCCGCTGAGAGCTTGAGGAAGCTACACAGCAAACACAGCGGCTTGCTGTCAAAGAGCAACCCTGGGATCCAACGCTCTCTTCTGGCCTCTGCAGGCACTTACACACACATGTGCACGTACAAAGGCACACGCACACATACACAAATAAATAAAATCAAATAAATCTTAAAAAAAAAAAAAAAAAAAAAAAAAAAACATGCAGAGCAAGTTACTTACTCTCTCGGAGCCTTCGTTCTTTTCTCCCGAGGAAAATGTAACAAGGCCTCATTGACTTTGTGAGAACCGACTCCCATCTTGCTGCTCCCTGGGATGGGGCGCCATCTGGAGGCGGAGCCCGGAAGCTGGCTGGCAGAAGACAGGCTTCTGTGCCCTTCTTCATTTTCCTCATCCTTCTGGGTCTTTGTGGGGAAAGAAGGCGCAAGGGATGCCGTTTGTGCTAAGAGAGGACGTCAACAGGGGCGTGAAGGGGATTTATTCACACTCTAAGTGCTCCACTCTGAGGCCAGTGAACAGGCTCCACCAGGCCAGGATGGCTGCCTGACTGAGTGGGGCTCCTGAGGAGCAAGGAGTGCACGTGGTGTTGGGGCTTCCACCACAGGGCTCAGAGGAGGGTGGGAATTGGGTGTGTGGAAAGGTTGAGAGGAGGGGTGCTTAAGAGAACTTGGGAAGGGCTGAGCGGCCCTCCACCATGCTCCAAGGGACAAGCACTCCCCGAGATGGGCCAGGAGCTCTCGAGCACAGTGGCCAAGCTGTAAGCAGCAGGCCAAGGCTGGCGCCTCAGTCCGTTGGCATGCCTCGTCTGTGGGGGCAGAAACAGTGGGGGCCAGATGTGTGGGGAAGGCACAGGGGAGGGAGGAGCTGCTCGGGAGGGGAGATTTCCAGACAAATGCTCTAGCCAGCAAGAGCCGAGTCTCTGTTGTGTGGACTGATGAAGATAAAGGCTTCAAGGAGGAAGGTTTATAAACGGAACATAGAGCTGGTGGGGGGGATCACAACTGAGACAAGGCTCCCACCCCTCAGGGCCCTGGGCTCTCAGCCCCTCAGAGGAAGACTGTCGGCAAGCACAGTCTCCCAGGCACCCCTAGGATCACGAGAGACTGGGGAAAGGGCAAGGCTGTAGAGAAACCTACCTTGTTGGGTGTCGAAGGCCCTGGGGGAGAGGTTACAAGGAAGGAGGCTGTAGTGCTCTGAAGATGTCCAGGTGGTACCCACGATGTCCAGGACCTCATCCCTGGAACCTGTAATGTGGCCTCACAGGGAAGTAGGCAGCAGTGAGGAAATTAAGGAAGCCACAATGAAGAGATTATCAAGGATTAGCAAGGTGGGTCCTAAATAGAACCACAAAGTGTCTATTATTATAGGATGGAATCCAAGGGAGGTTTTGCCACGGGGGAAGAAAGTGGCATTGCCACTGAAGCAAGATGCCACACTTCTGGCTCTGCAGATGGAAGATGCCGGAGAGGCAAGGACATGGATTCTCCTCCCAGAACTTCCTGAGGAGTGAGGTTTCGCCTACACCTTGGTTTGTACACAGCAAGGCCAATCGTGGACTTCTGACCTCCACTGCTGTTATATGTAATATGTAGTTATATGTAATAATTGTTAATGTGTCACAGGAAATGAAAACAGACAGACACAGTGGTCCCTGGGGAGGTCTGAAAGGCCAGGAAGACAAGGATTGTGTCTATACTTGATGGACAGCTAATGCCAAAGCAGGTCCTGGGTGGAAATCTCTGAAGTAAAAGAAGCCAGCTTTCTGGTCTACCACTGAAAGAACATAGGAGATGAGCCAGGGGCAATGGCCAGGGAGGCAAACTGAGTCCCCTGTACCAGGAATGTCCTGAATCCCCTCCCTCAAAAGAGCTCAGGAGACCCACAGTTCTTGTCAATCTAAATATTTTGGTAGTTAATTTGAGTGAAGAAGAGGAGGTGGGAAGGAGAAAAAGAGGAAGAGAAGGAGGAGAAGAAGAGGAGGAGGAGGGGGAGGAGGAAAGTAGCTAAGGGGCCTGAGAGATGGCTCAGCAGTTAAAAGTACTTGCCACCAAGCCTCATAACCTGAGATCAGCCCTTAGCACCCACATGGTACAAGGAGAGAAAGGACTCCTGCAAGCTGTCCCCTGACCTGCACACGCCTGCTCTGCCGTGCACATGGGTGTACATGCAGAAAACACACACATATAAATAAATAAATGTAATCTTTGTTTTGTTTTGTTTTGAAATAAGGACTCACTATGTAGCCCTGGCTGTCCTAGAACTTGCTATGTAGACCAGGTTGGCCTTGAACTCAGAGAGTAAATAAATGTAACCACTTTGTTTTGTTTTTTCCAGACATGGTTTCCCTGTGTAGCCCTGGCTGTTGTAGAACTAGCTCTGTAGATCAGACTGGCCTTGAACTCACAGGGATCCATCTGCCTCTACCTCCTGAGTGCTGAGATTAAAGGCGTGCACCACCACTGCCTGGCTCAGCCTTACTATTCTTTAATAAACCATCTCCAGTTCTACTGTGACCCACATGCCTTGATCATCCATGTTCTAAGACCCCAAAACCTGGCAGGTGCCCCCGGGGCTGTGATATCCACCATTAACACACTTGAGCAAAGCGAGACAGTGGACTAACTGTCACATTAACACAGGGGAATGACAGTGCAGTTCCAACAAGGTGGCAGCTGTGAAGGCAGAGGGCAGTGGCCAGTTTCTGGGCATACTTTGAAAGGAGTGTGTTAGGTAGAAATCACAGGGCACCATTGTTTAGGCTTCTTTCCTGGCCGCAAACAGACCAGATTCAAAATGAGATCACCCATGCTGAGTTCCACAGTGAGATGAGTTCCCTGGACTCCCAAAGTGAGGACAGGGCTGATGAGATGGCTCGGAGGGTGAAGGCACTTGTCACCAGGCCTGACACTGTAGTCGGTTTTTGTTCGGGGGTTTTTGTTTTGTTTTGATATTTTCTTTACTCTTTACTTTTTGGAGGTTCACCATCCAGATCCCAAATAAATACATGGAGACTTATTCTTACTTATGAATGCCCAGCCTTAGCTTGGCTTGTTTCTAGCCAGCTTTTCTAACTTTAATTATCCCACCTGCCTTTTGCCTCTGGGCTTTTACCTTCCTCTATTTGATGTACCTTTCTTTCCTTCTTACTCCGTGACTTGCTGTGTGGCTGTGTGGCTGGGTGGCCGGGCCCTGGTGTCCTCCTCCTCTTCTCCTTTTTCCACTCCTCCCTCTTCTTCTCTCCACCTGGCAGCCCCGCCTATCCCTCTCCTTCCTAGTTATTGGCTGCTCAGCTCTTTATTAGACTAATCAAGTGTTTTAGACAGGCACAGGAACACAGCTTCCCAGAGTTAAACAAATACAACATAAAAGAATGCAACACATCTTTACATCATTAAACAAATGTTCCACGGCATAAACAAATGTAGCCAATATTCTACAGCATGGCACCCAAGTTCAATCTGTGAGACTCACACGGTGGAAGGAAACAAACCAACTTGGCAAGTGTCCTCTGACTTCCACACATGCGCGGTGACTTGCACATGTCCACATAAACAAATAAACAAACAAATAAATGTAATTTTTAAAAAATGTTTAAAGAATGGGGCTAGAGAAATGTTTTAACAGTTAAGATAATTTGCTGTTCTTGCAGAGGACCTTGGTCCGGGTCCCAGCTCTTACATCAGGTGGCTCACACGTCTTGTTAACTCCAACTCCGGGGGAGCCTATGCTCTCTTCTGGCCTACCAGGGCACTACATGCATCTACACACAGATTCATGTGTATGCATGATCAAAAACTTAAAACTTAATGAATTAACTAAAAATAAATAGGACAGAAATGCCAGCCAATCTCCCAAAAAGACTGGTCCGGCCAGCACAATCATACCGTTCCCTCTACTAAAAGTGACTTAACATCGCCTGGTGTCAACAAATCAACTATTTTTCTGTTGTCACCCTGTCCCCTTTCAGCTGTCCTGGGCCCTCCTCTGTCTACAAACCTAGCCTCCTCTGCTCAGCCTGTGGGCCCCTCATCCTGTTTTCTAAAACAATCTAGTACCTGGTTCTAGACTCCCTAATGGGGCCAATTAAGAGCTTTAAACTAAATTGTTGTCCTTTTGACTTGTGACCACACCAAAAGGACCTGTTGACAGATTGCATGTGGGGTGTGAGGATGAGATGGGTGTTCAGGACGGCTGCAAGGTTTTCAACCCAAGCAGCTGGGCGTCGGCAGTGCTGCCGGCAGGGTGGGTCGGGAAGATGGCTTAATCGTGTTAAGTGTGAGATGCTTACTAGACAGGCCACTGCACCCAGGTTAGCCGGGCTGTGTGCGGGGCTGAGTTGACAGTTCCTGGCCCTTTGGTGGCATTTAAAGCCATGAGAGACGCGTATCTCCGGGAGAGTTTGCCAGAAGAGACAGGATCCAAAGATAGTGGGGAGTGGCTGGGAGGAGGAGGAGGGTTAGAAGAGCTGGAGGAGGGGGAGCAGCTAGGAGGGCAGCCCTAGGGGTTGGGGAGGGTGAGGTCCTAGAAGGAAAGAGCTGTGAAGGTGATGGGTCAGAGAAGTGGGGGGTGACAACGTGTGGCCCTTCTGACCTTTGAAAGAGCAGCCTGATGACTTTCCTTCCCAGAGTGAGATGGCTTGGTTGGTAGGTGCAGATAATTCAAGGTCTCCGGGGAAAAAGAGGTGTCCCTTCAAATGGGGCAGTTCAAGGAGACTAAATAAAGGTACTCAGTAAGGACGGGGACGGGGCAGGGAATCCCAGGGAACAGGAAACATTGAGACCAATATTACTGTCACCAAAAAAGGCCAAGGAAAAGAGACCAGTAGTGAGGGTAGGGACCCAGGGGCTGGGACCCTCCATGGAGGAGCACAAGCTGCGCATTGAGACAGGCTTCCTCTGCAGGGTGGGCCCTGGAGAATAACCCATCCTCTGGTATCAAGGAACCCTGAAAATGCAGCTTCTGGGGACGCAGGTACACAAGACAGAATGGAGACAGACTGAGATCGAAGGTCTAATGAGTGACATCAGAACAGAGGAGGTTCCTGAGAGGAGTGTGTGCCGTGTTTCTGATGAGTTTTGAGGCATTTCTAGAACATTCCAAGTCCACAGTGTCCCAAATGCACAAAGACTGCCAGAGGGAAAAGAAGTCCACAATTATGACTGAGACGGTAAAATTGTAAAGGAATGACTCTTTCAATAAACCGTGTCCAGGGCTAGAGAGATGATTTAACACATACTGTTCTTGAAGAGGACCTGAGTTCAAATCCTTGTGCCTACGTTAGGCAGCTCACAACTGCCTGCAACTCTGGCTCCATGGGATCTGACACCCTCTGACCTCCTCAAGTAGACGTGGG